GGTGGGTTTAAATCCAAAGGTAAACAGAAAACACAAAGATAAGGCTGGAAAGACTGTAACACCAAATTAGGTCCAGAGTGTGTAAGTTTCATAGATAGACCTAGAATAACATTGAAAGGAAATTATAAAATATTAACAGGGGTTGTTTGGGGGTGGAATCTTTCTCCTTCCTCTTTTCCGTATTTTTCCATTATGAGCATACACTTTATAATGGAAAAGAAATACAGCTCACGTTCAAAGAGAACGCAGGGCTCAGTTACAGGGTAAGGAACCCAGCATCCCATAGCATGTCCTTGACTCAGCCTAAACGAGTCCACCAGCCGCACGGCCGTGACGGGGAGGTGGACTCAGCGAGCGACTGGCTGAGGCAGCTCACCTTCGTCACTCCACATGAGGAGTGAGCACACACCAGCCCCTTCCAGAGCTGGGCAGCCCAGTGAGGGGATTTATAGGCCCAGAGGGATCTAGACATCTGTGCTTCATTCTACCAGCAGCGCTAACCTCCCTGGTCAGAAGCAGATGGAGCGCCGTGCAGTCGGCTCTCCCTCTCTGACCTCCACAAATGCTGCCTTTGTGCTGAGGCCCGAGCCCCCAGTCCACATGGGGAATGGGGGGCAGGGAGGCCACAGAGAACAAGTCCTGCAGTGTCTTGCTGAACTGTCGCTGCAAGGACCACTCACATTTGTGACTGGGCTCTTAAGCTTTTTGGAAGAGGCTGCCAGCCCCGAGCTCTCTCGATATCCTCCTGGGCTAACCTGTGGCCTCCAAGGAAGCCAGAGGGAAGGACTGCTAAGTGTTCTATTATTGATTAAAGCATCATGTTTGGGCCTAACTCATGTCTCCTCCTATGATAAAAGGAACCCAACCTGAGAGACCTAACCGGATATTGCAGGGATGTGTATGTCTCTAAGGTGTCAGGAGCCAGGGACAAGGGATACTGCCACAGAGAAGCAAGCTGCTCAATTACAGCAATGAGTTGTTTTGGGAAGTAGAAAAAAATAAAACACACATATGGGTAAGGAATGAATGACTACCGAGAGGCTTGAGGCAGCCCTGTACTCCTTGTTTTCTGTTTCTCCTCTCTTAGAATGGCCATCAAGACCACCACAGGCAAAATGGGAAAGGATGTGAAGTTGGCCCACTAAGTACTCCTTTGGGGCCTCCACCCCACCCCCCCACCCCCGCCCCG